ACCTAGGGACGGCTTAAACCTCTCTCCCTCCAAACCTGCTATTTTTTAACTAGATACCTGGAAATTGTGGTGAAAACACACTGTAAATTAGCTATCTAGCAATTTCAGTAAAAAGACACATTAAAGAATACATTTTTCTTAAAATAATATCCAATTGTTTTAAAAACCTTCATGTAATAATTTATTATTTATACTTGAAATGTTTCCATACTCAGGTATTAAGTCTCTCTGTAGATGCAATAAATCAGATCAAGCTGAATTAAAAGTCTAGGGTTAACGTGCAAAGCAGCTCCTGGGTGGCCTCAGTGAGGAAGTAGAATACCACGAGGGGTAACCACGAGGCAGGTGGGTTATTGCATCATAAGTATTGTAAGCACAGTCCTGTGCTTGTCAGGGGAGGAACTGACCCTTGATAGGCTTTCTGAGGGGGCGGGGTCTGGAATGGGAGGAATGAGGCTGGGTGGAGCTTTCACATAAACATCCCAGAGTTCTTGGGTGCATGGGTACACATTCAAGTCTGACTAATTCCTGGAGGCATGGGACAACATGGGGAAGAGGTAGAGGTAGATAGGAGTTTGTGGGCCCAGGTTTTTCAGGTGGTACGTGTGGAAAAGCAGCTAATTGTCATCCTAGAGACCTCAGGCATCTGTTCCTTAAGGAGGGTAAGAAGAAAGGCTGGTAAGGAAATAATAGATTATCACCNGCTCCTGAAGGTTCTCGTTGTTGTCGGCTTCCTCCACCCACTTCTCCAGCAGGGGGCGCAGCTTGCACATGTTTTTGAAGCTGAGCTGCAGCGCTTCAAAACGGCAGATGGTGGTCTGGCTTAACACTTTTCCAAAGAGAACACCCAGGGTGAGCCCCACGTCGGCCTGGGTGTACCCCAAGGTGATACTCTTCTGCTTCAGCACCTTGGCGAACTGCTCTAGCTCCTTCTGCAGATCTTTGATGTCCTGGGACTCCTCGGGACTTGGTTCCACCTTCTCCAACTGCACCGCACCGGGATGGACAGTGCTGGGCTCAGGGGAGGACCCCTCCGAGTTGCTCTCCGCTACTGCTCCTGCCTGATCCTCAGGCTGCAAAGTCTCCAGGCAAACTTGGGACACTAGGCCCAGTCCAACCTGAGGTCCACAGTATGCCATCCCTCCACAGAATTCATACGGCGGGGATCAAGGGGAGATCCCCAACACCTCTGAGCCTGGTCCAACAACGCCTGGCCTGATTCCAGGCCCACCTGGAGGCCCTTGGAAGCTTATCCAAGTCCGAGGGTCCACCAGCCGGGCTCCAGCCCTCCCGACCCATCACCCCCACCAGAAGGCGAAGTCTGATGCCAGGTGTCCAGCCATAGGGAAGGAAGACACCCCAGGCCGGGGGCCTGACAGAAAGAGTGCTCACCTAGGGACGGCTTAAACCTCTCTCCCTCCAAACCTGCTATTTTTTAACTAGATACCTGGAAATTGTGGTGAAAACACACTGTAAATTAGCTATCTAGCAATTTCAGTAAAAAGACACATTAAAGAATACATTTTTCTTAAAATAACATCCAATTGTTTTAAAAACCTTCATGTAATAATTTATTATTTATACTTGAAATGTTTCCATACTCAGGTATTAAGTCTCTCTGTAGATGCAATAAATCAGATCAAGCTGAATTAAAAGTCTAGGGTTAACGTGCAAAGCAGCTCCTGGGTGGCCTCAGTGAGGAAGTAGAATACCACGAGGGGTAACCACAAGGCAGGTGGGTTATTGCATCATAAGTATTGTAAGCACAGTCCTGTGCTTGTCAGGGGAGGAACTGACCCTTGATAGGCTTTCTGAGGGGGCGGGGTCTGGAATGGGAGGAATGAGGCTGGGTGGAGCTTTCACATAAACATCCCAGAGTTCTTGGGTGCATGGGTACACATTCAAGTCTGACTAATTCCTGGAGGCATGGGACAACATGGGGAAGAGGTAGAGGTAGATAGGAGTTTGTGGGCCCAGGTTTTTCAGGTGGTACGTGTGGAAAAGCAGCTAATTGTCATCCTAGAGACCTCAGGCATCTGTTCCTTAAGGAGGGTAAGAAGAAAGGCTGGTAAGGAAATAATAGATTATCACCAGCCCTATGAACTGGGCTAGCCATGGGAAGAAAGAAGACTGGCAGAAAGAATGGAACAGATGGGCTGGAGAGATGGCTCAGAGGTTCTTCCAGAGGTCCTGAGTTCAATTCCCAGCAACCACATGGTGGCCCACAACCATCTAATCTGGTGCCCTCTTCTGGCCTGCAGGGATGCATGCAGGCAGAACACTGAATACATAATAAACTAATAAATAAAAAATAAAAATAAATAAAAAAGAATGGAACAGATAAGTACCCTGGTTGTACAAAAGAGACAAGGCTGAAAGAGTGAGACATGAGAGTAGGTGTGCTCTTTATTGGGACATGTTTAGAAAACTAGGTCCCAGTTGCTCCATAGGTGTCTGCTCTAGTGTGGAAAGGTGGTACCAGCACTGATGTCCCAGGAGCTTGGGAGCTGGAGGTAGCATGCCAAACAGATGGATGATGTGTTCTTCAGAAGTACTTGAGGCATCATATCTCCTACTTCAACAGAGGTGGTGAATACATCCATCCTCTAAAGGTGTTAATAAAAGTTAACAGATAATGGTGCCTTTATTAGTGGGCTTGTGGCTGAGATCAACATACCATTCACTTTCCTGGTTAGCATCCATGAAGATGATGCTGAGGCTGATGTATCTGGAGGGCCCCCTGTAGCAAGAGGAGTGAACCTACAAAATGTGCTTGAAAATAGGTAGGGTCAAAGAGGGGCTCTGGAGACTGTTTCCAACAGAACAGATTTCTTGATACAGTAGCAGAACATGTCCCAAGAACCTGCAGGTATCTTTAAAACAACTGGGATAGGTTTACACCTTGTTGTCAAAGCAAAAGGCTTTGGATTAAAAAGTATGAACATTTTTCCTAGGGCATGGTTTTAGCCAGATGAAACAAACATTTAAGTCTAAATTCATTGACTTTAGGTAGGAGAGGTAGTGAGTGAGTGGAGGAGGATGAAACTGAACATACCTATAGGGTTCTGTTCCCTCTCTTATCCTAACCTCTGTTTTAAAGCTAGGACCAGTAAAATCAGCAGAAAGTTAAGCACTCCAGAAAACTGTTTTCAGTCATGGCCCTATCAGTTCATCAGGACTTTTCAGTGCTAAAACTGTAAAACTGTAAAACTCTGAAGTTATATCTGAAACATGTTTATCCCCTACAACAAAGCCTGTGAATGAGGAACACCTGTCTGTACTCTTAAGAAGAAATGACTAATGAACCAAGAGCTACAAGCTGGTTGTAGCCTTGAGGGGGTATGGGTCAGGGGAATGCTGCCAAACTGGTAAGACTATCAGTATCCTACTCATCCAATGCCATCAGATCTGAGAAGGATAAGCATAAGTGAGACAGATTTCCAACTACCTAGGAAGTTCAAATTTCTCCATGGTTATTGTGGGACCAAAGATCCAGAAGCAGTAACTGTCTTTAGATGCTGAGTTCAGAAGATCTGACAGACATTCCTGTGGGTAGGAATTTGGGGAGAGTGACCTACTTGACTTAATAAAACGGAGCAATGGATCCTCCAATGTACTGTTGTGGAGTCTCGACAGGGTCCTGTCCTTGGTTTAAAGCAGTTTCTTGATTCATAGCTGGTTTTGCCATATTTAAAGCATGCTTCCAGGTAGAAGTTCTGTGGCCAACAGTCTTTTTTTGAAGAGATACAGGACACTGCCTTCAAGAGGACAATATTCTTTTGGGGGGGGGTGTTTCGAGACAGGGTTTCTCTGTGGCTTTGGAGCCTGTCCTGGAACTAGCTCTGTAGACCAGGCTGGTCTCGAACTCACAGAGATCCACCTGCCTCTGCCTTCCGAGTGCTGGGATTAAAGGAGTGCACCACCATCGCCCGGCTGACAATATTCTTCTTATAAAGATTTCTTAAGTCAGAATGGTAAAATAACATGCTTAAGGCCATTGCATCCATTGGTCTTGAGTTCAGAACTATTCTTTTCTTATTGTAAAGCCTGTCCTTTCAGATTACCTCACAATCATGATGATGAGCTTAGCTAGAGTCACAATATATGACCAGGCTTCCTTTTAGCTTATTTATAGTATTAGTGACTAAGCAAGGCAAGCACTTCAGGAGCATACTTCTCTGTTAAGACTGTACCTTGAAAGTTTGTTTTCTTGGTCCAAGCTATGCTCACTCAGGGGAATTCAGTACCTTACTGAAATATTTTATAGATGTTCTTCATGACTCTGAGCTAAGCAAGATTTCTACTACATGTGCCTAAATATGGTTTTTCTTTAAAGTATAATCTTATATATACTCACTCATGAGTATACTCCACAAATGAGCATGTTTAGGACTGGATTTATCCTCTTGGTCAAGGAGAGCAAAAATATCACAGGAGAGGCTATTGGTTTTATGTTAGATATTTATGAGTGAAGTCTGCACTTGTTTTTACAGCCATTACATGAAATGCAATAAGGGAGCCTAAGCTTTGTACTGTGAACCAAGAGAGAATAAATAAAAAAATAAACATGTATACAGCTGTCATAGATCCTAGCAAGGAGTTAACTTCTATTGTTTGGTTAAATAGCTATGGTATGTATGTCAAATGATTTCTAAACATCTGTCTATGTCAGTTAGCTACTGTTAGTCATGAACCTTGTTCATGGAATAAAAGGTCTTTACAAATTGGTGGTAGTTACAACAGAGAGTAGCAGCAGGCCATCTGTCATCCCAGCCTCCCATCCCGAAATAACCTCACAGATACTGTATTAATTAAATTACTGCTTGGCCCATTAGCTCTAACTTTTTATTGGCTAACTCTTACATCTTAGTTTAACCCATTTATATTAATCTGTTTATTACCACGATGTTGTGGTCTACCAGCAAAGACTCAGCATGTCTGACTCCAGCGGCTCCATGGCATCTCTCTGACTCCATCCTTCTTTCTCCCCATTCAGTCCAGTCCTCCCCGCCTACCTAAGTTCTGTGCTATCAGCAGGCCAAGGCAGTTTCTTTACTCATTAATGGCAATTACAACACATAGAAGGGACTTCCACATCACCTCCTGTTTTCTGTTTAAATAAAAAGGAAGGTTATAACTTTAACATAGTAAAATTACATATAAGAGGTATCAAGCAAAAATTACAGTTACAATATTTATATTTACTTTATCTATTATCATAACTCAGGAAAACTATAACTATCATTATAAATTCTTCAACTCCATCAAAGACTCCAGAAGGATATAATATTACTTAAGTAAACAGGAGATGCATTGTAAACAACTTCCAAAACTCTAGGATAAACAGACATCTCACTGCCTTGAAAGTCAACCAAAGTCTGTACCATTGGGACATCCATCTTCAGTCTACAGACCCATAATATCCAGCAGACTTTTCATGAAGCAGGAAAACTCAAAGACAGTTTCACCTATATTGGCAGTTTCTTTGTCCCTTTTTTTTCTTCTGTACCCTGCAGAATGTTTAGCAGACTCTTTCATGAAGCAGGAACCTCAAAGGATCATCTCACCTTTAGGCAAGTTCAGTAGTCAGCAGGGGAGGGGACAGGAAAGGGGGGGAACAGAGAAAAATGTATAGCTCAATAAAATAAAAAAAGAAAAAAATAGGACTAATTATAGCTCATACAGCTTAGTCCTCCTATAATCAATCAAAAGGTAAAGACAGATGGACACTTGAATCTTTTTGACTATTTAGTTAGTCAAAGCTTACACTGTGTGTACTATTCATATTATTAAATTGAAGGCACTGATTATGTGGCTTTGGATGAGGTCAACCATACCCCAAATCTTTAATTCTAGAATTACCACATTGTGACTTTTCTCTTCCCGTCCAGTTCCAATACAAAATGCAACAGACTCTGCACACAAATGCCTGTCATTAGAAGTCTCACATGTCTCCACTGCTAATGAAATCTGGTTCTCTGTCTCATTATTACTTCCTATCCCTTGATAGCACACCACTGTCGCAGATTGTCAGTCCCTCTTCGGGCTTCATTTGCTTGCCTAAGCAGTCTTGACATTAGGGTCAGTCATTTTATTAGATTGTCACACTCTCTTGCCCAAGAGCTGTCATTCTAATTCCAAGAATGGGTAAGTACAGTCATCTGCCTTCTTGCCTCCCAGTCCCAGGCTGCCAAACACTGCAGGAGAAAGTCACACAGACATGTAGCCTGGTTCCACTCAGTGCTGGGCACTCCGCAGTCTGACAGAACTTGTTCTTGTGGGTGTTTTACAGTCTTTGGTCTCCTCAATGCCATGTGCAATATTCCTTCTCACTTAGGTTCTATTGGGGCACTTTCTTCCAGTCCCGAAAGAAAGTGAAACCCAGCTTGATTTTCTTATCTAAAATTTCAGCTTTCCTGTCTGGTCCTCTC